AGTGGACCAGAACCAGAACCTTCTATGCCACGCACTGAAAAGTAATTAAATTATTTTGTTAAAAAACATAGTTATTTCATTAGGCCAAGAAATTTGACTTCTTGGCCGAATGCCTTCAACATTTTACCTTTAATTTTATTTCTTTAACGATCCTAAACGTACAATTTTTAGAAGTAGAACGTGATGTTATGTAGATAGATCTAACAGTTGTCATATTTTTTTATTAGTCCAAAGTATTAAATTAGTGCCTAGGCTATAATCAATCACTTTTGCAATGAGTGTTGACAGCAATAAAGTGTAAATTATATACTGATTAAAGGTAAAAAAACATAGTTATTTCATTAGGCCAAGAAGTTTGACTTCTTGGCCGAATGCCTTCAACATTTTACCTTTAATTTTATTTGTTTAACGATCCAAAACGTACAATTTTTAGAAGTAGAACGTGATGTTATGTAGATAGATCTAACAGTTGTCATATTTTTTTATTAGTCCAAAGTATTAAATTAGTAAACATTCAATTTTCTTAGTTTCTTTAAGAAACTTTCTTGACCCATCACTGGTAATATTCATAAGAATAAGAAAAAATTGAACCTACACCTCGCCAAAGATTTTTGTTTTGAATGCGTTCCACCAACTTCAAATACCGACAGACAGCTGTTTCGACCTTTATTGGGTCTCATCAGTGTCGGGCAACTTGGTGTAGTGGAACACAATCAAAACAAATTACTCCCTCAGCTTATATGCTCGGTTGTTAAGTCAACAGAGGCGAGATGTAAGAACATCAGGTGATCCACACCGTCAAACGACGTAGCCTTTGCCGCAATCGGTACATACTATGCAACCGGGACTGCACACAGCAATTGTATCACAGATACTAATATGGCCTAAAGGAATCTAGAATTAACCCAAACGGGCTAAACAGCTAAACAGCTGTCTGTCGGTATTTGAAGTTGGTGGAACGCATTCAAAACAAAAATCTTTGGCGAGGTGTAGGTTCAATTTTTTATTAAATTAGTGCCTAGGCTATAATCAATCACTTTTGCAATGAGTGTTGACAGCAATAACGTGTAAATTATATACTGATTAAAGGTAAAATGTATTACAACAATTATTTTCTTAAAAAATAAGAGTATTTATACATATTTTTACGATTCAGGGTTTACGGTGAGGAAGCAAAGCGTTACGGTGTGGAAAATAAGGATATTTCTATAGAAGAATTTCGTACTATATATGACCAAAAATGTCAAGGATTTGTTTTAAAATGCGATAAAAAATTTGTATTTGAAATTCATGGAGTGAAAATATCCTATAGGCCCAACGCGCTTCTTGTTGTACCAACAGATACGAAAGTGAGCATAGGTCTTCTTCAGACTCTCTGTTGTACTTCCCCTATTGACCGCGTGGCCGGAACATATCCTGAATACGTAGTTGAACCAGACGGTTTAGGAGAATTCAGGCTAAAAAAATCAAGCCGGACTTATAAAAGAATTAATCTTTTGATGCACTTCATGAAGTTGGAATTTGCCTTATTTTACATCACCGGTTGTGGGGAAGAAATAATATTAATTGAAAATATAACAAAAGATTTAGAAGAAATAGCCAGGGTTGAAAACTATATTCAAAATGAAATGTAAGTGTTAATTTGAACATTATAAGGGTTAAATTAATTTTTGATTTGTTTTAGTGCAATTAAACCCGCCTTTTCTAAAATATCATTGACTAAGCTCTTGGATGACTTGGATTATATTTACCCATGATATTTTGTGAAAAATTAATATTTTTTTTCCTTTTCAACCGACATACTGTATATTTTTAAGAAATAAACCTTTTTTAAATATTTTTGTTTATATTTATATTTATAAAACATTGTATTTTCGTATTCTTATACAGAAACAAAATTATATAAAATTCATTAGTAAAAACTACCCCAGTAGCACAAAAATATTGGCCCAATATTCGTTTGATGATATTGGGCCAAAATATCTTTCGTCAGATTTTTTTTAGCATGGTCCAATATTGAAACCCCACATTGGCCCGAAGTTGTTTGTTCTTGGGTTATGTAGATCCTGAAGAAATCCTCTGCACTCAAACTTACTCAATTAACTTAGCCATTATTTGTTACTTAGCAGATCAGCTCCACTCCAATCATTGTTTAGCTGTATCATCACAGACGCACATCTCCAACTGATATTTGTAACCTATCGGTATATATAGCGTGCATAAGCAGCGGTGAGATGTATAGCAACCATATTTGTTTATAACTTTGTTAATAAGTTTTGCTTTTAGAATTTTGTGTAGTATACTATAACATAACTATAGTTATGTTTAGTATTGGCCATTTTACTTTTTTATTAACTAAATAAAATTATTATTTTTATCCCATTCTGGGACATTAAGGCTAGTCCAAGGACATCCTTCAATGACATCCCCGGGATATCTCAAAAGGTCGACCTATGGACGTCCTTATAGGATCATCCCATCTGAGACATAGGGCTGGTCCAAGGACGTCCTGAGGATGTTTGTGCTTGCTGGGATTGGCAATAATATATTGGATAAACATTTTTCGCCAATATAGAACCAACCGATAAAAATTGGTAATACAAAATTGAATTAACAATTTACGCCAATATAAAGCCAACCTTGTATAAACATTGGTAATTATATATTGAATTATCATTTTATGCGAATAAAGGGCCAAACTTGGACAAACATTGGCAAAGATATATTGAAAAATCATTTTACGATAATATAGGCATATATTAGGTTAACCTTGGGCAACCATTTTCAATAATATATTCGATAATTATTTTAAGCCAATATAGGCTATTCTTGGACAACTATTGGCAATTACATATTGAATAATCACTGTACGCCAATATGGGGCCAACCTAGCAAAAACATTTACTATGATATATTGGATAATCATTTTACGGCAATATACGGCCAACCTTGGATAAACATTTTTAATCATATATTGGCGTAAAATGATATGCCAATATAGGACCAACCTTGTATAACCATTGAAATGATATGATATTTAATTATTATTTTATGACAATATAAAGCCAAACATCGGCTAAATAAATTCAATATTAGCCCCAGATAAAATATTGGGCATAGACGCGCCCCATATAGGACCAATATTTTGTACTACTGGGGTAGGTATACTAAACAGGGTTCCAAAAATGCCGCACTAATGCAACACTAGGTTACGTATAGAAAAAGTTATTTTCAGAAAAAAACACATTTTATAGCTATTTTAAGCATATCATTACATGTTCAATTAATAACTTGGGATTTAATTTAAAGTCAAAATCAATGCGAATACATTTCCTTGGGTAATTTTTACGATAGGCCACGTGCATCCTGTTCCTAAGTAGCTTGACTTCAGCACGTTCATCGTCACGACAGTTGTGTTCACATGTACCAGATTTAGCGTGCACAAAAACGTTACATATAAGTTTGCGTTTCGCAAAAATTTCTCTGGTGGTAGTCACCGCGTGTTATAAAACGTTCACGTGATCCAATCGAAAAACAACTGAACACAGCTTGCTTGATCTAGGAAAACGTGAGACGCGCATTCAAATATAAGGGTTATTAACGATCGATATCCTTTTTTCAGTTCAGAAATGAAAATGTGTCATTGGGTTTTAAAATAAATGTATTATTATAATCAATGCAAGAAGTGCCTTAGTCACAAATAGGTGATTCTGAGTGGATTGGACATGATTAAAAAATAAAAAACGTTTTGTTATATCAAAAAAATAAATAAAATAATTTGGGACTTAGACACTTTTTGTGTTGAAATGTTTTTATTTTGTCAAAAATTAAGGGATATTTTGAGGAAAAATTTGTTTATACTTAAAAAAGGTTTATTATGTTATATCGCCGTAAAAAATATATAAATTGCGAACAAAACTTAAGACCAAGACATAACTTAGGACATAACTTAAAGCAAAACTAAGAAATAATAAGAAGGCTGGCTATTCATAAACAGCGTCGGCCTCTTGTAACTGATCAATTTCTTTATCAATGACATCATTTTGCTGGATTATACTTCCATTTTCAGACAAGGTTCGAGCAAAAAAAACAGTAACTGGTATGTTTTAAGGTTCCACAATCTATTTTATTTTACTTTACTTACCTGCCATAGTTATGTTTTTAATCGCAGACACAAAAATATTAGGATTTACACAGTTTAATAGGTAATTTGCTCAGATATAACCTAATTTAAATAACGTGGACTAAGGCACATGTTGCATTGCATCTGTCTTAGGTACTTTTTGCATTGAAAACCAGGTAAACTCCCATTGAAGTAAATGCAAACTAAGGCACTTAGACACATTTATATGCCAATCTGCAAATACCACCTGAAAGCTTAAGTCAGGGTGGTTTAAGTGAAACACTTTAGATAGCGCCACAATGTCAATTTTTTTGATTTTATTGCAATGACCCCTTCAATTAAATTTATTATAAATAATAATAGGTTTTAATACTAGAATCCTTAACTACCTATATTTATATTGAGTAAAAACAATTAAAATTAGGCCCTTGTAAACTGTCAGAAATAAAACTCTTCTAAAAAAAAGGTATCATACAAATTAATTTTTAAACCAATTAAAATTACTATAAATAAACCCTAAAAGATTAAACTTTAAAATAATTATTTTTTGCTACAATATAGACACCAGTCTTAATACTACAACTGGATAACTCAAAATTTTACTTTTCCAGTTTTATGTAATTTACTTGAAGTTTTTCAATGATCGCTATAACTAAATAACTCTAGCTTCCTTTACTGCAATTTTTCCCTCAAATTTTACTAATTTTTATTTAGTAATTTTAAAATCAATAATTGATTATGTTTTTTAAGTTATCTAGTTGGTATTAATGGGACCATAAAGTATCCTACCTATTGATTTTTTGTAGCTTTAGCTTTTACCGACTAGATGGAGCAGCCTAAAGCAATTTTATACTAAACTAAAGTAATAAATCAAAAATTTGCCAAGATTAATTTATTACAGACATAGACAAATAATGAGTACAAGTTGTGAGCAAATTTAATATTCTTCACCTCCTTCGCCTTCACCATCACCGGAGTCAATTCCAACTTCCTCGAAATCTTTCTCCAAAGCCGCCAAATCCTCTCTTGCCTCGGAAAACTCTCCTTCCTCCATACCCTCGCCCACGTACCAATGTACAAAAGCACGCTTGCCATACAACAAGTCATACTTCTGATCTAAACGAGCATACGCCTCAGAAATGGCAGTGGTGTTGGACAACATGCAAACGGCTCTCTGTACTTTGGCTAAATCACCTCCAGGTACAACTGTTGGTGGTTGGTAGTTGATACCAACTTTGAACCCGGTTGGACACCAGTCGACAAACTGAATGGTACGCTTGGTTTTGATGGTGGCGATGGCTGCGTTCACGTCTTTGGGCACCACGTCGCCTCTGTATAACATACAGCAAGCCATGTATTTACCGTGTCTGGGATCGCACTTCACCATCTGGTTGGCGGGTTCGAAGCACGCGTTGGTGATTTCAGCCACGCTCAATTGTTCGTGGTAGGCTTTTTCGGCGGAGATTACAGGAGCGTAGGTAGCCAGGGGGAAATGGATGCGAGGATATGGTACCAGGTTGGTCTGGAACTCGGTTAAGTCGACGTTTAGAGCACCGTCAAACCTCAAAGAAGCTGTGATGGACGAAACTATTTGGCCGATTAATCTGTTTAAGTTGGTGTACGTCGGTCTTTCAATATCCAAATTACGTCGACATATGTCGTAAATGGCTTCGTTGTCGACAAGAAAGGCGCAATCGGAATGCTCGAGGGTGGTGTGGGTGGTTAAAATGGCGTTGTAAGGTTCGACAACAGCCGTGGAAATCTGTGGGGCAGGATAGATAGCGAACTCCAACTTGGATTTTTTACCGTAATCCACAGACAATCTCTCCATGAGCAAAGAAGTAAAACCTGATCCAGTGCCACCTCCAAACGAATGGAAAATAAAGAAACCCTGTAGACCGGTGCATTGATCAGCCAGTTTCCTAATGCGGTCCATCACCAAGTCAACAATTTCTTTGCCAATACTGTAATGTCCTCTAGCATAATTATTGGCGGCATCTTCTTTACCAGTAATGAGCTGCTCGGGATGGAACAATTGCCTGTATGTTCCAGTTCTTACTTCATCCACCACAGTGGGTTCCAAATCGATAAAAACGGCCCGTGGCACGTGTTTTCCGGCGCCGGTTTCGCTGAAGAAGGTGTTGAAACTGTCATCACCACCTCCAACTGTCTTGTCAGATGGCATCTGTCCATCAGGTTGGATTCCATGCTCCAAACAGTACAACTCCCAACAGGCGTTGCCTATTTGGACTCCGGCTTGGCCGACATGTACTGATATACATTCACGCTAAAACAACATGTTAATTTTAAATTATTAATAAAAGTATTCAGTAAGAACTTACCATGATTAATGCTTTTCTTTAAAAGAAGTGATATGCCAAGGAATTATGAAAATTTTTGAAAAGCCAGTGATGCAGCTTTTTATTTTCTCTTTATTTATGTTTAGTTGATGTCATGGAAACTTGTTATAAAAGTTGGCTGGGGTCACAATCCACACAAGGTCTGTTCCATCTCGTACTAAAAATACTAAAAATCACTGCAACACTGCACAGTGTTTAACGGCAGCCATTTTTGTTGTCTACAATTCTTGTTCTTTGGGTTTGTGCTCTGTTTATACCGATTAATAATTGTTTTAAACGTTGTGTTTCCTACAGAGGCACTTGTAAGCCTTAAAAGAGGCATTAACGTGCTAAGAAGAAACATTTTACTTATTTTTTGTAAAAAATAAACATTATTCTATCAGGGCTGTCATCACACTGTCAAATGTCCATTTTAAGGTTACTTTGTGGGTTATGGTGAATTAACCTTAAAATTGACATTTGACATTTTTAAGACAACCCTGTTAGAATAAAGTTTATTTTTTACAAAAGAGGAGTAAAATGGTTGCCCTTCGCACTTTAAGATCTCTTTTAAGGTTACAAGTGCCTCTGTAAGAAACTCCACATTTAAAACGATTATTAATCTGTATAAACAGTACAAACCAAAAGCTCAAGAATTGTAAACTACAAAAATGGCCACCGTTAAACTTTGTGCAGTGTTGCAGTGATTTTTAGTATTTTAAATACGAGATAGAACAGACCTTGTTGAGTGGATTGTGGCTGGGGTATTTATTTACTTTTTATGGTGGTTAAAATGTAAGCTTGAATTTTTAGAGAATTTTCCTTTTATTATCTTGACAAATTTTGTCAATATTTTTAGGGTTATTTATTGCCAACATTATTTAATAAAATTAGAAAATCAACAAATAAATAAACTATCAATATACAGGGTGTTGATTATTTTATTACTTTTATTCTAACTAAGAAGGACCATCGTGTTTTAATCTTTAACTTTTTGGGACTTACCAGGAATTTCTGTTCTTTCTTCGTGCCAGCTGGCTGTTGATCCGCTACAGCCCCTTAGTTTGACCAAAACACGAAATTGATGTTAATGTTATTCGTGAAACTGTAATGCTCCAAGAGCTGGCGTCAACGTATTTAATATTTGCACTTTTTAACTTTTCTAATACTAATAACGATAACTAAAAAATAGCGAACAAAACTATCAAAACCACGCGTCGATGCCTCGATCGGTTGTGTCGTTTTTTTTTTGCCAAACGAAACTTTTTTTTTGTTTTCCCAAGAAACAAAACATTTACTATACCGGGCGGACTCCAGACAAAGTTAAATTAATTATAACAAACAAAACTAAACACAGGGTGTCCGGGAAAAGGAGGTCAATCCTTGAGTTAAAACAATAAGACTTTCATAATACCATTTTTCAATTTAGAGCTTCATGTTCGATATACAGGGCGACAAAGTTTGAAATTTAAAACTGATTTTTTTTAATAATTCGAGTAATTTATAAGATATTAAGTTTAAATTCGGTACACTACTTCAATATAAATAGTTACATTTTTGGAGACCAACAAAACAAAAAACAATTGTCAAATAATCAAAATAGGGGGGTCCAGTACTCACTGACTCCCCCTATTTTTTAGTACGAGCGCCAATGACTTCCAAACGGTATTATTTCAGGTTACCATTTATTGTTAAAAATATTTTGTCTCTTATAAAATTTTGATAAAATGATTTGTTTTAGAGATAATTTGTAAAGTATGGGTCAGTCCATATCAAATCAACCAAAGGTTCTTCCCCCACCATCTCCGATTTTGATAATTTTTGGTAAATTTGTTTACCTCACTAAAAAACTCAAAAATCCCATATATGAATTTTTTTCGATAGGTGGCTTTTGTTTTATTGATTTTTGAAAATCAAAAAATTCCGATAAATTTGGGTCTTGCAAGTACTTACAAAAATAGCGATATCTCGTAAACAATTAAAAGTAAAAAGGTCAGTGGTGGGTTATTTTAAAGGCCTATTAGAGACCTTTTTTATGATATATCACATGACCTAAACTTTTTCAAAAAAATAATAAATTTCGAAAATTTGATATGGACTGACCCATACTTTACAAATTATCTCTAAAACAAATCATTTTATCAAAATTTTATAAGAGACAAAAAATGTTCAACAATAAATAATTACCTGAAAAAATACCGTTTAGAAGTCATTGGCGCACGTACTAAAAAAAAGGGGGAGTCAGTGAGTACTGGACCCCCCTATTTTGATTATTTGACAATTGTTTTTTGTTTTGTTGGTCTCCAAAAATGTAACTATTTAAATTGAAGTAGTGTACCGAATTTAAACTTAATATCTTATAAATTACTCGAATTATAAAAAAATCAGTTTTAAATTTCAAACTTTGTCGCCCTGTATATCGAACATGAAGCTCTAAATTAAAAAATGGTATTATGAAAGTTTTAACTCAAGGAATATATGGTTAACGGATTGACCTCCTTTTCCCGGACACCCTGTATAGGTAAAATATTGTTTTATTTGTCTGTGGCCGGCTTTAGCAATTACTTTAGATGAGTTTCCAACCGAGCCGAAGGCGAATGAAAAAATTCATCGAGGATGTAATTTCGATGGATAAATGATGTCAAAAATAAAGGTGTTAACTACAATATTAAGTACATTTTTGTTAAGCACGAAAATGTTAGATAACACCATTATCTCTCGACTTCAGTTAACAATCGGAGTATTATAGGGGCGTAGGCGTAGGCGTAGGCGTAGGGGGTTTGACCCCCCTCCGAAATGTGAGAAAGTCGTTTTATATAAAATTGTTTAGAAATCCCAACAAGCTTATGATCTTTATAGTTTTATTTTACTCTTATATTTTACCAAAACCCCGCCGATTTTTTTTCTGCCTTTTATTAACCACTCGACAATATTGTTTAATTAATATATTTTGTCAAGATTATTATTACAGACATACACAAATAATGAGTACAATCATGAGCAAATTTAATATTCTTCACCTCCTTCGCCTTCACCATCACCGGAGTCAATTCCAACTTCTTCAAAATCTTTCTCCAAAGCCGCCAAATCCTCTCTTGCCTCGGAAAACTCACCCTCCTCCATACCTTCACCAACATACCAATGTACAAAAGCCCGCTTGCCATACAACAAGTCAAACTTCTGATCTAAACGACCATACGCCTCAGAAATAGCAGTGGTGTTGGACAACATGCAAACGGCTCTCTGTACTTTGGCTAAATCACCTCCAGGTACAACTGTTGGTGGTTGGTAGTTGATACCAACTTTGAACCCGGTTGGACACCAGTCCACAAACTGAATGGTACGCTTGGTTTTGATGGTGGCGATGGCTGCGTTCACGTCTTTGGGCACCACGTCGCCTCTGTACAACATACAGCAAGCCATGTATTTACCGTGTCTGGGATCGACCTTAACCATCTGGTTGGCGGGTTCGAAGCACGCGTTGGTGATTTCGGCCACGCTTAATTGTTCGTGGTAGGCTTTTTCGGCGGAGATTACAGGAGCGTAGGTAGCCAATGGAAAATGGATGCGAGGATATGGTACCAGGTTGGTCTGGAACTCGGTTAAGTCGACGTTTAGAGCACCGTCAAACCTCAAAGAAGCTGTGATGGACGAGACTATTTGGCCGATTAATCTGTTTAAGTTGGTGTAGGTCGGTCTTTCAATGTCCAAATTACGGCGACAAATGTCGTAAATGGCTTCGTTGTCGACTAAAAAGGCGCAATCTGAATGCTCGAGGGTGGTGTGGGTGGTTAAAATGGCGTTGTAGGGTTCAACAACAGCCGTGGAAATCTGTGGGGCAGGATAGATAGCGAACTCCAACTTGGATTTTTTACCGTAATCCACAGACAATCTTTCCATGAGCAAAGAAGTAAAACCTGACCCAGTGCCACCTCCAAACGAATGAAAAATAAAGAAACCCTGTAGACCGGTGCATTGATCAGCCAGTTTCCTGATGCGATCCATCACCAAATCAACAATTTCCTTGCCAATACTGTAATGTCCTCTGGCATAATTATTGGCGGCATCTTCTTTACCAGTAATCAGCTGCTCGGGATGGAACAATTGCCTGTATGTTCCAGTTCTTACTTCATCCACCACGGTGGGTTCCAAATCGATAAAAACGGCCCGTGGCACGTGTTTCCCAGCTCCGGTTTCGGTAAAGAAGGTGTTGAAACTGTCATCACCTCCTCCAACTGTCTTGTCAGATGGCATCTGTCCATCAGGTTGGATTCCATGCTCCAAACAGTACAATTCCCAACAGGCGTTGCCTATTTGGACTCCGGCTTGGCCGACATGTACTGATATACATTCACGCTATAAAAAAATATAATTTTTTTTGTAATTTTTTATTATTATTATTGAAAAGAAACTTACCATGATTTATGCTTGTTAATGGTTTTCTTTATAAGAAGCGATATGCCATGGAATTATGAAAATTATGAAAAGCCAGTGATGCAGCTTTTTCTTTTCTTTTTATTTTTGTTTAGTTGATGTCATGAAAACTCGTTGGCTGGGTTATTTACTCTGTATAGTTGTTAGGATTTTAAGCAGGTATTTTTATAGAATATACATATCTTGACACATATTGTCAATATTTTTAGGGTTAGTTTTTGCCAAGAAATAAATAAACTGTCAATACGGATGTTGTTTAATCTCTTTTGTTTCATTTTTAATTAATGTTGTTTTAGAAACATTGTTTTTATTTATCATTGTTTGAAAATTGCTGTCACATATCAGAAGTCTCATAACTGTCTTCTGAAAAATACCAAATTTGGGGGTAATTTAACAATTTTCGTGGGGTTTACCAAATTTTCTTGTGTTTAAAATCGTCCACCTAAAAAGACAATCCGAAAATGGTAAGAAAACCAAAATAATTTAAAAACACCTTCTGAATAATGTATTCTAGCGTGAATGTATATCAATTCATGTGGGCCAAGCTGGAGTTCAAATAGGCAACGCTTGTTGGGAGTTGTATTGCCTGGAGCACGGAATTCAGCCCGATGGAATAATACCCGAAGATAAAAAATGCTACAGCGGTGACATTAGTTATAACACGTTTTTCAATGAGACAGGCGGTGGTAAACACGTACCAAGAGCCATCTTTATCGACTTGGAACCTTCTGTAGTCGACGAAACAAGAACCGGTGTATATAAACAGCTGTTTCATCCTGAACAACTTATTTCTGGGAAGGAAGATGCGGCTAATAACTACGCTAGGGGGCATTATTCGGTTGGGAAAGAAATAATTGAGGTGGTGCTTGATAGAGCCAGAAAACTAGCTGATCAATGCTCAGGTTTACAGGGGTTCTTTATTTTCCACTCCTTTGGAGGTGGCACGGGAGCTGGATTTACATCTTTGTTAATGGAGAAGTTGTCGAATGAGTACGGTAAAAAATCGAAACTTCAATTTGCGATTTACCCTGCCCCACAAATATCCACAGCTGTTGTGGAACCCTATAATGCCATATTAACGACTCACACAACTCTAGAGCATTCGGATTGCGCTTTTTTGGTGGACAATGAAGCCATATATGACATATGCATAAGGAATTTGGATATAGAAAGACCAAGTTACACGAACCTGAACAGGTTAATTGGTCAGATCGTTTCATCCATTACCGCTTCATTAAGATTCGACGGCTCCTTGAATGTCGATTTAACTGAGTTTCAGACAAACTTGGTGCCTTTTCCTAGAATCCATTTTCCATTAGCCACCTATGCTCCGGTTATTTCCGCCGAGAAAGCATTCCACGAGCAGCTCAGCGTGGCGGAGATCACCAATGCCTGCTTCGAACCCGCCAATCAAATGGTCAAGTGCGATCCCAGGCAAGGAAAATACATGGCTTGCTGCATGTTGTACAGAGGCGACGTGGTGCCCAAAGACGTGAACGCTGCCATTGCTTCCATAAAAAATAACAAGGCGGTGAGGTTTGTTGATTGGTGCCCCACTGGTTTCAAAGTTGGTATCAACTATCAACCACCAACGGCCGTCCCTGGAGGTGACTTGGCCAAAGTTCAAAGAGCTTTGTGCATGTTGTCGAACACCACTGCTATAGCTGAAGCTTATGCAAAGTTGGACAGGAAATACGATATGATGTATTCAAAGAGAGCTTTTGTGCATTGGTACGTCAGTGAGGGTATGGAGGAAGGCGAGTTTAGTGAAGCCAGGACAGATTTGGCAGCGTTGGAGAAGGACTTTGAAGAAATAAGCGCTATGACCATTGGCGGGGACGGAGATGGACTTGATGAATTTTAATTTACATTCAATAAAGAGTAACATATTATTTTTGATTATTTTAATTTAAAAATGCTGGTATAGTCGCGTCAAAATCTGTATGGATGGACGTCATCAATATGATATAATGACGTCAGAATTACCAACTTTAAATTGTAAAGTTACTGCCGTTAAATTTGCTTTTTTAAATCGTAATTTTGATGTGTTATTATAAAAAAATATCATTCATTTGCGTATTGTTGGTAATAGCTTAGGGCTGGCGCTCACCGTTCAATATTATAGATGGGTCACCGTAATTTTGAATTTGACGTTTTTTGTAATTTCGTCCGTAAGCATCGTTTAATGCAGATTATAAACAATTTTATACATTGTGTTTATCAAATTCTACCCCTGGAAACGCCAACAGTTAGATTGCAAAGACATTTCGACCTTAATAATACATTTGGGGGAAATAATCAGACACCAAGTCACCTGGTTCGCTCTGACGACAAAGGCGACTGGTAATTTAATATTTTTTTGTTATTTACATAGGTAGGGGAAATTTCACGTAAATTCAACACGAGAAAAACCCTTGCCATTTCGAAATTCCATGGCAATTTTTCCATGGGTTCCCTGACTCAAAATAAAAATTCTATTTTAATTTTAGCATATGATTTTTTAAATTTTCATGATTATAACTATTTTGCCAATATATCATCGATCATAACTTTGGTTCCAATCATTTTTCTTGTATTGAAACAAGCTATTTGAAGTAAATATTTTTGATGCTGTGGCATATCGGCACACTATGATTTTTTCTTCGAAAACTAAACCATTTTCTACATTGTTTTTTTTTTAATTTAATTTTTTTTGTTTTTAATCTTTAAACGAATACAAGTTTTTTTTATTTACCTATATTAGATTGTGGCTATCGAAAAATTAATAATTTTTTCGGAATTTTTAATTTTAATAATTTTGATTTTTTCCACTTTCGGATATTTTGTAATATCAAAAAGGATTTTTTTTTATTTTTTTTTGTATTTAGCCTTTTTAACTATCGTTTAAAAAATATTATTATTAATAATTATTTTAAGATTGAAAATCCATGAATTCATACTCTTTATTTTTTTTAAACAATTTTAAACCTTAGGGGTCATCCATTAATTACGTCAGGCAATTTTTGCGACTTTTCGACTCCCCCCCCTCCCCTTGGTAAGATGTCGTGAGATTTTGCTCGACTCCCTCCCCCCTCCCTTAATCTCACGTGAGATTTTTTTAAATGCATGGTTTTAATGTAAATAAGTTAATTTGTGATTAATTCCATTAGATTTATTAAAAAAAAAACAATTGTTATAATTGTTTACTTAATTTAACCCAGTTTTCTCGCAATTTTACACTGTTTCATTCGAAAAGAAAAAAATTACGTGATATTTGCCGAGACCACCCTCCCCCCTACGTGAGATTGGGTGAGGTTTGGCTCGACCCCCTCCCCCCCCCCCTAAACACCTCACGTAATTAATGGATGCCCCCTTAGCCCGTGGGCTAAATAAAAAAAAATCATTTTTGATATTACGGCCATTTCAAGCGCGCGAAACGCACGAATTACAAAACTGTTTTTATAAAAAAAATTGTAGATTATTTATTATATAATATTTTGGCATCAAAATTGTCAAAAATATTCTTCTTTTATTATGTTATACATTAAATAAAAAAAAACGCAAGAAATATTTTATAAAAGTAGATATAATTTTAATAATTGAAAGGTGTGGACGGGACAAAAAAAAGATTTATCTTGTCCCGTCCATCCCCTGTCAATTATTGAAATTATCTCTACTTTTATAAAATATTTCTTGCGATTTTTTTTATTTAATGTATAGCCTAATAATAGTAGAATATATTTGACAATTTTGATGCAAAAATAATATATAATAAATTACCGCTTGAAATGGCCGATTACAAAAAGTCCGAAAGTGGAAAAAATCGATATTATTAAAATTTAAAATTCCGAAAAAAATATTAATTTTTTATAGCCACGATCTAATATAGATAAAAAAATTGTATTCGCTTAAAGATTAAAAACAAAAAAAAATAAAATTAAAAAAAAATACAGTGTGGAAAATGGATTTTTAGTTTTCGAAGAAAAAATCATAGTGTACCGATATTCCACAGCATCAAAAATATTTATTTCAAATAGCTTGTTTCAAGACAAGAAAAATAATTGGTCGTTCGTCGAAATCGCTCAATTGGAACCAAAGTTATGATCGATTACATATTGGCAAAATCGTTGTAATCATGAAAACAATTGAATTTTAATTTTGAGTAAGGGAACCCATGGAAAAATTTGCATGGAATTTCGAAATGGCAAGGGTTTTTTTCGTGACGAATTCACGTGTATGTAAAAAAATTTAATAAACTTTGATGTTTTCTCTCTAAAAACATTTAATAAAAATTTGCCAGTAACAAACTCCTAATTAATGTAGAAGATTATAACAATGATGACATAAGTCCATCTTAATAAACAGCCCCTACCGCTATTATAGCGTGTATAATACACGAGTAAAAGATTGTGTCTGGGCACGTATGAATAGACCTTAACGCTGACACCATATGCTGTTGATTTTATTTTCTTTTTTTTTGTTGTTTTTTATTCTAAGGCTGTTGATGACGTGCATCCATATAGATTTGGCCGCATCTCTAGTAAGAGAAATAATATTTAATAAGGATTATAAAATTTGATTCCCCATATGTTTGCATAAATTCCATTTTTAATTTAATTCATGGAGGATTTTTCTAATTAAAATTTCTTACATATTTTCATTTAAACAAACTTTATAACGACTTAACGAATAACCAGAACTTCTCTGAATTATTTACTCTTTCATTCGACAAAGACTGCGTCATAATTTAGTTTGGCTTAGACGAGGGTTCAGCAGGGCTAAGCATTTAATTTTGAGTCCCAGCCATGACATCACAAAAGGCTGCATTAAACTTTTATGTTAATTGTTTTGAATACCTACTAAATAAAAACTTTTGACATTGTAATTATTCAACTTTTAATTAATAAAATACATAACAACTTTAGAAGCTTATAATATAAAATACGATATAAATCTAGTATTCCCCCTCACAATCTTCAGGATCTATCGAATCCATACCAACTTCTTCAAAATCTTTCTCCAAAGCAGCTAAATCTTCCCTTGCTTCAGAAAACTCCCCCTCCTCCATACCTTCCCCGACATACCAATGGACAAATGCTCTTTTGGAATACATCAAATCATACTTCTGATTCAACCTGGCATACGCTTCAGCTATGGCAGTAGTATTGGACAACATGCACACGGCTCTCTGTA